AAATAGATATTTAAGGAAAGAAGTATTATAAAATTGTTGCTATACTTAAAGTAATAACATTCATAAAACAATATATTGAAACAGAACGGAGTTCTGAGACTATGCAAAATTAACATTTTATTATTTTTCTACCTTACAGATTTCATATTTAATTTTGTCTGCTAAATTAAATATATAATTAAATATAATCGATACATTGTCCGAATGCTAGTTATTTCAGTTTCAATTCGTGATTTGTTTCCATCTCAGGTTCGATTCCCGGGTTGTGCTATAAATAATTTTGATAACCTTGAAATTTAGATGATTTTAAAGGGAACACTTAGTGTTTTCATTTTACTTGTAGTACAGGTTCGATTCCCGTATAATATAATATATTAGTAATTGTATTTTTTAACTTACATATTATTATCATAGTATCTGTTATTTTAACTTCATTCTAAATGATTTTTGATATCATTTGAAACACACGTTTTTATATTCTTTTAGCCGGTAGATTTTTACAGAAGCTATAGCAAATGCAGCTAACTTAATTTTTCCAGGCCACAGGTAGCTGCACTTTTTGAACTTCTATTTAGTGCTGTATTTATGTTACAGGGTTTCTACTGCTAGTTTCTACTGCTGTTTCTACTGCTGTTTCTACTGCTAGTTTCTACTGCTAGTTTCTACTGCTAGTTTCTACTGCTAGTTTCTACTGCTAGTTTCTACTGCTAGTTCTACTTCTTCATCAACTCCAGTCCTCCGGAGCTTCGTGGACCTTCGGTGCTGCTGACCGGAGCTGACGTCGGGTCTACACCCTTCTCAGCCTCTGCCCGGCCCGTGACGCCGAACCCGCGAAGTCCTCACTAATTGCAAAACTTAAAAGCTAAGTCCTCCCCTCGTAATTATAGAAACAAGAACCATAACGAGCGAATATCTTAACCTACCCCCTGAGAACAAAAATAAAGATTGTTAAACTTTATTATTACTTTTATTCTTTATACCTGAAGCCTGGGGGTGCTTCACACCCCCCATCTACAACCCTAACGCTTCAGTGGCGCCCAACGTGGGGCTACTACTAGATCGAATGTACAACTTCTTAGATCGTGCGTGTTATTGCGACACCTAGGACAAAACTTTTTTCCTGCAGCAATCGCAGAAATAATCGCCCTGTTAGAAATAAAAGAATTTTTAACTAAACTTTTTAGTGGGTTTTTAGTGGGCCACCCAAAAAAAAATTCCATAGTACAATTGTTAACATTGTACCTTCAACTATTTTTAATTATATTTTTCTTTAAATCTATTTGTATTAAAAAAAGAATTCAAAACAAGGACAGTTTATTAAGTAAACTGTTACAAAAAACAAAGAGTAAAGCATACTCCTCGTAATATTTTCAAAACGAATATTATTTTAATTTAAATGGCCAGTAATAAGTCATAGATTCATTCAGAGAGTATATCTGGAATCACGTATTCTGACGTTAAAGTTTCTGCGTTAAACAAAGGTATAAAAAAATTTCATAAACGTGTAACGTTATTGAATAATTATCAGTTATGTAACATCAAATAAATGTTGCCCCTTGACGCTGTCAGATGAGGATAAAAATTTCGTCGATAAAAGTGAAAAGCGGTTTATTAGATCAACGTCCACATTTATCAATTCAACCTTCAAACTATAGCGATAATACAAACTTCAAAACAATGCAATTGAATTATTAACAGAAGTCAAAATCATATCCGAATGATACTCAAAACAAAATAAATGCTACCTCATTTCCTGACACGTATAATTTACATATAAGGTTATGTCAATTGTTGTTGTTGTCGTTATGTCATGAATGTGTACGTTAAGGGTTTTGACTAACTGATATTGAGTATATACGATATTTACATAACGACACAGATCTACAAATTAATATTGAACTTGAAAAAAGTATTATAATTCCAACAAGAAACAGAAAAAATACTGGTTATTTTGCGATTTTTGTTCTATGGAGAAAAATGTAGTTATATATTCATATTTAACCCATCACAAAACCCTTACAAATATGATGTACAGGTTATTGGACTTTACCGTTTAGAAAACCTGTTGAAGTTTTGGGTACACGCGCCCTCTTAACTTCTTACACGTTCGTTCAAATCAACCGTAGAAATAGGATAATTAGTTGTACATATTTTCGCCATTGTTCTCATGAAACAATATAATAACAAAAGGTATGAAGTACCTACTTATTGAACCAATTATTCATTCTGAAATCTTTTTCATTCATAGACCTTGTAATATAGTAAACAATCGACAAAACAAAATTTAAATATATGAATATCCATTACTCGAAAACAAAATGTTCAACTGATTAAGTTGATATTGATGACGTCAATGTAACTTAAATATTCATCGAATTTTTATACCACAGTTTGTACCGTCTATAATTTCATTATACTCATTTTAATTTTATGTACAGTTTTTATTATGCGTCCTTACAGCAGAGTTGGATAAAATTTAACCTACAATCAACTCAAAAACAATAAAATCTTTTTACTTTATGATATAAGTATAGATAAATTTAATTCTTTATAATAGTATGATGCATACATGTATCATGTATATACCAATATCTATTCCAATGTTGCATGATGCATTATCGTATACTTATCATGACAATATGACAAATCTTATATAAAAATCTGTGCTATTGATTATAATACCAATCAGATTGTAATCAAGATAAACAAATAAAGTGTGTACAAGAAAAAATGTGTGGGATTATATTTATAAGTGATAAAATAATTCTTAACAGAAAAGTAGATACGAGATCACCTCTAAAATTAAATGACGTTTATCAGCATCAAAGACATTATTATATCAAATACCACCTTTACAAATCTTTAAAGTTGGTTTTATTTTATTGAAACTCTTTGCTGCGACGGCGTTGTCAGCTTCAGAATCTATATTTTTTTAAACTGTTGTTTACTCTTTGTTTTTTGTTTTTTGTTCAAAAAAAAGCAAAGCAGATCACATTACTATGTGTATCACTGCTCGAGAATAGCGATCGGATAACTTATAAGGTATTTTACAAAACAAATCTGTCATACAAATAGCGAGCAATAATAGTTGGCTGTTTGAAAACGTGCTGACTCTAATTATGAAAATATTATTCAAAATCCCATACATTGCTCAGATTCAAAGATGAATAGCTAATAATAAGCATAGAACTATGGAGTATCTGACAAAACTAAGTTAACACGACACCCACCAGCGAAACAAAAAAAAACTATATGGACCCGCACGGAAATCGAACCTGGGACTTCAGAGACTGTGACACCTTGAAACCAGCTTGCGAATAAATCGACTACGGAGGTATCTATTACTAAAGACATTTAGTGCTACGTGCATGCATAAAGAATAAAGTCTATAAAGTACAAAATGGCGCTGTATCATTAAATATAATTTTCTTAAATTACTACGATCGTTATTATGATTTCCCCTTATCGTTATAACAATTGTTAAGTGACATCGAAATGACACAGAACTATTTTAAAGACGTTCCTACACACACATAAATATAACAAAGTAGGTACTACCCCGGCTTCATTGGTTCAATTTATCTATAGCTAACTAGTTGTTTTGCCGTAACTTTGCCAGCGAAAATTATAGCCCATGACACCCGCGTATGGATGTAGCTTCCCTTGGGAGAATGGATTTTTAAATTGATCAAGTAGTTTTGAAGTCTATTCGATGCAAACAAACCATCAAATCCTTTCTCTTTATATTATTAGTGAGACAATTTCTCATCTGACTTCTTCAGAACCTTCATTTTTAAAAGTAGAATAATTTGTAATGATAGCATTTATATTGCAATAGCATATGAATATTCTAGTTCATAGCCTATTAGAAATATTTTTCTTTAAAATGTCTTGATGACATATGTATTAAACTACACAAATTACAAACTGACAAACGCAATAGGAGAAATATGTAAAAATATCACTAAATACTGTGTAAATCTATATGTAATAAAAAATGTCTCGCATCCATATTAAAACAACATCGGCTTTATAATTTTACTAAAAATGATCTGAGATGGCTATTTCACGTCCCAAATAGTGGCAACATGTCACTTACATGAGGTTAGGCATACAACTCATCCCCGAGTCTATTAAGACGGAGTGACAAGTGACACAAATGTTATAATTTGTCTTATGTTCCCATATTTACCTAGCGTTTAACCTCGACTATTATGTTGATAGCCCGCATAGACTAAGGTCATCCGTGTAATCAAGATATTTCATATCGTTAATTTTCAGTAATTTAAAATATCTTCCAATATTATTACTAGAGATATACCTTTTTTCTTGGGGAAAATGCTTTACTCACAATCCCTGCCTGTATATATACTACCAGAATAAAATCAGTTATTCGGTTCAAAGGCCCGACAGCCTAACTCAAAGCCATTCACACATCACACGCTAATTAATTTCCCCACTTCTGGGGCTCAGCCCTTCGCTGTGGATGGAATCGAATCGAATCGGGAGAATGGACCATTACCCACCACGTGGACCTAGCGCAGCTTGGTGGGTATTAACAACTACAGATTCAGTAGGGACCGACGGCTTAACGTGCCTTCTGAACCACGGAGGATTTCGATATAACAAATTTTTGGTCACCCATCCTGTAAATGGCCATTGCGAAATTTGCTTAACAATCGGGTGCGTTCTGCACCATCGAGCTCCTCAAAGCCATTCTCAAAATGATAACTATAAGAACGTTTTTTTTTGTTTTTATCGATAAACGTGTTTATATTGTGTCATTGTCTCTGGCAGTTCAATTGGTTAGAGCTGTCACCTGGATCACGAAAGATTATAATCTCCTGAAACGAGTGATTTTTCAAGCATTCGTATTTAACATAAATATAGCATTATGAATGCACATGAATTAAAGACTAAAATATAAAACAATCAGGGCCTACAAAAAACAATAGCTAATTTACTATCCATTAAATGTTGAAATATGTACTAATTCTCTAGTCACTGAAAATCATGACAAAAGAATAAATATGTAGTTCCAAACATTCATGATTATTAACCTAAGAATGATGTTATCCCGTATATTAGTATTGTATTACTACCATGGACTTTATATTTATCGATGTTGCAGGCGTCATGATCACAGAGTAACCGAAGTCGAGTAATCAGGATTACATAGGTACACAAAATATTAACAAGTATTTCATTGACTTTAAAAATCAAAACAAAATAATAGTATTTATTTATATATTCCATATTAATTTCATTTAGAGTATACACACTTACCAGCTTACTGTTTTTTCCTGTTGTGAGCCTGCTGGTAGAAATTTCAATTTGTAATAAGCAGTGCCCTTGTACTAATGTCTGTTACATTTGTTCATGTAAAATTGTATGTGTGTACATAATAAATATATATTAAGTAGGAAAGATACAATTTAATTTAACGAAAATATCACATACATAAAAATAATCAAAAGACTTAATTATAATAGACACTTCTTAAAAATATAATACTGTAATAATACAATAATTATTAGATTATTATTAAAATATATTGTTTTTAACAGAACTTCTTGAAACTTCAATAAAATAACATAATAATGAACTTTGTTCACACTATCCACTATTGTTAATATATATTTTTTTTTGCTATGAACTATCTAAATGATTAAGGCAACTTATCAGAATCCTTTTTCTTCAACCATATATATTTGTAGAATACCGCAGGCACAATACCACCGACAAACGGACCCACCCAATAAACCCAATGGGACTCCCACCTCATAGACCATAAAGCTGGACCGAACGATCTTGCTGGATTCATACTGCCTCCCGTAAGTGGACCACCAGCCAAAGCTAAGCCAGATATAGTAAGCGCATATTTCAGGGGTACAGAATCTTGTCTGCTTTCATTCACTGGATCCCATACTGAGCAGTTAACTAGAGATAGTGCTGCTGATAACAATATTTCTACGCCAACAGCCTGGATACCATTTAACGTCGGATTTGGAAGCGATAAACATATACCTTCTCCTGCCATATCGACTGGCGCAACACCAACTAATATTCCATATCCGACAACAGCTCCAGCTAATTCAGCTAAAAGGTACGCTACTCCCACGGATAACGATATCCTTTCCCATATCACAGCTTGCACCGCTATAAAAGGATTCATTAGGGCGCCTGATATATGTCCAAAGATCTGTATGCATATCATTACCGCCATACCGAAAGCAATGGCCGCATACATCGGAGGTTGGTACGGCAACCCTGAAATCGGTATACATGACATGCAACCGAATGCAACTAGAAACATAGTAGCAAAAAACTCTGATGCTATTCCTTTCCAACTCGAGGATACCCATTGTCCTATTGATGAAGGGCTTTTCTCAATATAATTCGTGACAGTGTCATGAACATGTGGTAATGTCATTTTTTATTCGAAGGAGATCGGCGCACGTGAAATAATACTGGTTTTATACACTCGCACTTTTCGCGATTTTCGCAATTCGATATTTATTACGTTTTTATTGGGTAGAGTCGACACGACCGCTTCACTAGCGCACTCGACTATCTTAAAAATCCAATACGAGCTGAGTAAAATACAATAACATTCGAATGATAGACACTAAATAAGATAATTCTTGTATTTTTGATTTGTGGAAACTGCTACCTCATGGTTCTGATACTTAAAGTCAAATTTGTTTTTAATAATTTCGGTTGTAATATATCTACAGACGAGCGATCAAATAGTATTTTTCTTTATTATACAGACATAATTGTATATTTATATATGACTCCTAAAAGTTCTTCAGTCTAATATGCAGTGAATTTATACTATAGAGTTTCAAGGTCCGACTCGACGACAGAACAAAAAGAACTTGATTAATTAATTCGAGTTGTTTACTAAACCTTAGATTTTTAAGTAATAACTTTTTATATATTTTTTGTCTCAAAGTTCCCACGAACAATCTAGCATGATTGAATTTAATTAGTGCGTATTCTTGTACAAAATTAAGTCCAATCCAAAAATAGTCACTTATTTTAAGGTCTTATTATGAATTTAAAAGCCAACTAAAATTTTAAAATACATATATTAATTAGCTTTTTTATTTTATTTTGTAAATAAAAGATTCTACACGCCTACCTGTTCGCAACGCAACGCAGACGACACGTATTCATGAATTGATTTATTGCTCAGGAGTCATTTCAAAACAGTAATTTATAATTCTTATGAAATATCGCTGAAGGACTTCTTAATCTATTTTATAATTTATTTCATGTGCTTATGTTTTCACCAGGCTTCATTGTACTCGTAGATTTTAATATGTAATAATACTTGAGTATGATACCTCTTATTATAAACAGCAACTTATAATGATTAAAATATGCTAGCCGTGTTTAATTTGTTAATTTAAAAGGTCGAAGCTAGATGAGGAACTAGTGCCCGACCGAAACCGAAACTTCCTCACGAGGGTCATGTTTTGAAGAAAAAGTAAAGAAAACGTTATTATAATCAGTGAGCCTTTATTTCTTATCCGTCTGCAAAATAAGTGTTAGGTTTTTTCGCATGTATATTTTATGTATGTATATTAATCTTTATTACATACATATTACATATTATCGGAACTACTCCACAGAAGGATCGTTAGTTTTGTTTTAACAGTCCAAATGTCAAAAATAGATGACATTAGTGAAAATCAAAAATTGCGGCCGTATGACGCCATTGTACTTAGTAAAAAAGTACTATAATATGGGTATCGAATTTAAAGGCTTAACACAAGAATTAAAAAAAAAACCGACTGCGTAAAAACTAATTTTAAAAAATATATGAAAATAATAACTTAAATGAAAACTAAAAAGAGAGAAACAAGCCCAGTAGTTTTGAATTCTGTTAAGTTATAATAAATAGCTACACAATTGAAATAGTTTTATAAAATCGATACACACGTAAAATAAATCATAAATTCTAATGCAGAACAGAACGACTCATAGTCTCCTTGGGAAGATTTGATTGGTAAAATTTGAATGGGCCCCGACTGTGAGTCGTTCTGTTCTGGATTTCCATTCGGGTCGGGTCCACACAGTCGGGTTTTTTGTTTTTTTTTTATACTTTTTAGTTACGTTTCGTTGGCTTCGTTATAAGATGGTAAATTTCGCTATCTAGCGAGAATTATTGTTTTGTTAAACAACTTTAAATCGTCATATATCCTAAACTATTATTTAAAATGAAAAATAATGAAAGGAACCTAAAGATGATTTTAAAATACCTATTCAATGACACTCCACTTGACTTGGTACACAGATTTTTTCATTTTGACAATATGGCGTCTGGTTGTCGCTGTGGTGAATTTTGATTACTGTCATGTCTTTAGTGAGACTCGCAAGGTCAAGACGAATCGATTGACGTAAGAATCATCAAAATCGGCCTACGCACTTGGTCTCTAGAACGCCACATAGAAACAAACATACATACATACATAGACTGATAAAACGTTGTATAAAGATCGTCGTTGTATAAAGATTTTTGGTATTGTATTCAGAAGTAATGAATTCAGCTTCATCATACTTACAAATAAGTTTTTCATGATTTTTTTCGAACGATGTCCAATGTTTTTCTAAAGTTTCCATTTTTGTTTCAATGTAACATTCTGTTATTTTTTCTTTTGGAGATTTTTTTAAATTAATAAATCCATTGTTAATTTTGTTGTGAATATTTACTTGAATTCGTATTAATGAATTCATTTTTGTAGTTTATTGTATATAAAAAATCCTGTGTTCAAGTTGAAAAAAATTTCTTAAAGTCGTAGTTGAAAAAAATTTCGAAGTGCAATGTATTTTTCTTGAAATTTTTCGAAGTCCCAAATGTTCAAAAATTTTTAAAGTCTTTTTAAGGACTAAGTCGAAATCGGGCATGGATTCCCCGTCTCAACCAAAATAAGCTAAAATTTTTATAAGTCTATGACAGCTACGTTCAAACCTCTAATGATATAGTTGAGACAGTACTAACAGTTTTGTGGCCCTTTTAATATTTGTTTATCTGCGCTTTACTTTCCGATATCAGCTAGTTGACGTCACTGTAGATCTCCGGTCTACAGCTAGTTTGGTTCGTTTTTCAAATATCCGGCGGCCAAAGGTCCATGAACAAAACACGGATTGTTGTGGCAGTAGACATTTATTTTAGATTATTCTATATATATATTAAAGTTGACAAATCGAAACTTTACCGAGTTCTAGCTTTTTGATAGTGACATCTGTTGTTGCAAATATAAATATAAAATAATTAAACACTATTAGTTATTTTAGGTAGGTAGGTTTTTATATTTAAATCTCAAATCTGTGCAGTCTTCGTACTTTTTAATAGGTTCTCAACATAATGAACCCTTATTTAAGAACAAAAAATATTGGGCCTTAAAATACTTAAAATAGGTGAGGTATCTAATTAGATAGATTCTTCTTTTGAATATCATTTCTGGTAAAAAAAAAAATTAAACAGAGTAATAAATATATTTTGTAACAATGTAACTTAAAAAACTATCACTAAATTACTAAATTTTCAACTCAAAGTAATCATAAGACTGCAAACGGCAAAGATTGAATACTAATAATTACATCTGTAATAGTTATAACTTAGTAATATTCATAATTCAACAATCTTATATTGTGGGTAAGAAATGTTTGTATATATATAACATTATCGAAAGAGAAGAAAAACATCTTCAGATAGTTTAAACTTGATTATACTATAATCTATGAACTTGTTAGTTTCTTATATTGAATGATTGGTTGATGTTTTATATCTCATCTCTGGTACACACCAAAATTCACAACAATAAAAAACAAGTAAATCACGACATGATTAGCGACGAAGACGCGAAAAATGTTTTCGTCGCCGATTGGATGGAATTCAATGCGCCGAACACAACCAACCGATCAGAGCGCGAGAACGCTCGAATGCAGTTTCGGTTTCGGTTGTAATTTCGGCAGGGTTGCCACCGAAACTGAAACTAAACCAAAATCCATTTTTTGCCGAAACTCAACCGAAACCGAAAGTGAACATTCGGTCGATCACTACTCTAAACAAACACCTTTGGTTAAGCGTTCATCTACTTGGCATCTTAAAATTTTTATTTTTGAGATAATTGTTTGAAATATGTTTGAGGTACATACTTATTTTATTGTATTCAAAGTTGCTGAGAACATTTTCCGATACAGAAGCATGATTTTATTACGTAACCGAAAACTTAACATCTTTATTTCTACACGCGTCGCTTGAATCTTGTTTAAAATGGCAGGCGTTATGCGCTTAAAAAGAGCCTTTACTGCTTGGTCAAAGACGGAAAGAAGAGGGACACCACGCAAAACCAGTGCAGATTTATAGAGGTTGACGACTCAGAAGCAGAAGCAACCGGCTCCAATAGCTACATACCTTCCAAAGCACGGAGGAGATAATTTTTTTTATTTATTATTATTGAGGAACAAACAGTTTATACATTTATTATGAGCATAAAATATTAACAAAAAGTAAAACTACAGTTTCCTATATTACATTTGTATAATACAATTCAACCGTTAAAGATAACTAATATAAAATAGATTTAATTACTACTTCATATATTCCATACAAAGCATTAATCAATATCAAATATCAAGTAATAATGGTTTTACCTATTTTTAGGTTTCTACTTACGTATATTAACAATTACAATCATACATCCAATTTATGCAAGTGTTCAGCAACTTGGATTTCAATGGAGTTTGGGATTACGAGAATTAAACTAATTTTATGTGCTAAAAAATAATCAAATTGGCTTTCAAAAAAATAAGTCGACTACACTTGCGGCCTTTGACTTAATTAACGAAATATTACAAAACATTAACAAAAGCAAATATACAACAGCTCTTTTCTTTGATATGTCAAAGGCATTCGATTTCGTTTCTCAGGAACAACTATTAAAAAAAAATATATAACAATGGTATCAG